TTTGCACTCATTTCACAATTTTATTATTACCAGTCACCCCAAACCAGGGGTGTCCCAGTTTGATTTTGAAAATTTGGTCATCCTACAAATGAGGTCCTCACTTTGGGTGTCAGATCCTATAACTAAAACCAATTTTCAATAAAAACAAAAGTGCTTTGAATGATACTAAGTGTCTTAAGCGTCTCAAGCATATGGCAGCCAGTGGCATTCAAAGTTTTATCATAATTTTAACAAGTAGGAGCACATTTGTTATTACAGCTATTACAAATCACAGAACTTGATGAACTTGATTTTGTCTTCATCCATTCATGCAACTTATCACCAATACTGTTTTCATCGCAGCTCTTCCCTTCATATGTGTACACTATTTAAAAGGGGGCATTAGCTGTACAAAGACACTGTAATTAACTCAATACCCTGATCTTGTGTCGGCAGGTCGACCCATATGGTGCTTGTTTGTCGGCGCTCAGCTGGAGAAGCGATCTCACAGCGGGACGCCAATGAGCCCTCCTCCTCTGCACCACCCACCCCTTCCTCCTCTGCACCCTCCCCCTCCTCTGCACCCTGTCTCCCTGTCTGCACGTCTGTGTGGTCCCCTGCATTCCTCCACTCCCTGTCTGCGCTCGACCTGGCACTGCTCAGCTCCTCTAATCAGCAGGTTAGACGCACGGCAGACACAGAAATCAAGACCGTTTGATTAGCTGGGTATGCTTGTCCAGATTAGCATTAAGGCGTGTAAGGTTTATCAGAGAGGGTATCGCTTGTAACTCCTCCTTGGGTGTAAAATAAAAGGATGGGAGCTTGTCTCGAATATGAAAAGTGAGTCTCTTGACGTAAGATAACAAAGTGCAGCCCCAAATTCTTAGCAAAAATGAAAACAACTTGAGATAACGTTTTCATGTACGTCTTTGAGCTTTGCCGATTATTCTTAGTTTTTTAAGTAAACAAAGGAGATAAGTGCTTTTGCAAATTTTAAGATGGATGTTTTTCTAAACCCAAACAGTTACATATGATTATGTGTCTGCAGTAGGCATTTTGAGTGACAATAATGCAACTCTGTACATTTTAATTGGTTAATGGGTGAACACTGTGCCACCATTAGACTTAGTCAGACTTTATTGATCCACAAGGGAAATTATTTGGACACAGTAGCTCACACATCACAATATAATATAACAAAGAGTAAAAAATATAAATGGCAATAATACATTCTAAATAAGTAGCAAAAAGATAGCAAGAGACTGGTGTCAAATAGCCTGATTCATCAGCCACTTTCACTTCATGGAAACCGCAGCATTAGGATTCGTTCACTCGACAGTAGGCAGATACTTTCTTAAATTAACCAATCACTGCTATTGCCAGGAAGAAGTGCAATAACGTCTTCCTCCTTGAAAAAATTCACTAAACATTCTCTTTGTTCTGGCTTTAAATCCTCGATCTCGGGAATTGTTGCCAACACAGAATGTATGTCTTTATCTACATCCATCTCGATCACTTTGTTTACTGTTGTGCTGTACCACAAAAGGGACCCAGACAGGCGCTTGAGTTTGATGTTATGGCTTCACAGCTCTTCACTGACAGGCCAGTGTGCAGTCTACAATTTCCAGGGTTCTTGCAAATCATCTAGTATATTCTGATTCCTGACCTAGTCGCTGGAGAGAAATTAAATTGAGCAGAGGCACTAGGTGGCACCAGCCTGGCTAGGTGTCAAATAAGGCATAATTATATAAATGTAAATGTACAAGTCAAAATAAAATAGAAAAATAAATAATAATAGATAAAATCTCAGCTATATAGAAGCGGTTATTACCCTGATAGAGAATACTATAGGATTACAATAAATCAGTAAATAATAATATTTGCTGTCCATCATGAAATACTGTATATGTCAAAGGAAAACATTTAGAACTTAACTAGATTAGGCTAGACGTTTGTCTTCTCTGCATTTGACCACAGACTCTCTATATAAATTGACATAGATAACCTGCTAGCCGTCAGCCTGCTAGGAATAGGAATATTGTCACCCTTCTCTCTGTAACTGCTGCACTAAGCTTTGTCATTTTGGTCTTAAAATGTTCATATTAACCTACTGTTCCTAATATGGAACTTAGCTCCAAATTTAGCTCCAAATTCTATAATATAACTGCTGCTAGAATGAGCTTCATTTGACTGGAGCTGAGCACTGTGGGTGACATCACACTCCCTTAGTCCACTACTTTATACAGTCTATGTTTTGACCTATCCTTCTACTACTTGCTACTGGGGCAACTTGTAAGAAGCAGTGGTCACCTAACACAGTTCAACACAAGGGACCTATCCCCAGATCTTGAGCTAAATTCGGTCAGGACTACCTTAGCTGGATATGCCTACTGTGCATGTTTTGGGTTGATTGGGGAAACCAGAATACCAAGAGGAAACCCACTAAGACACGTGAAGAATAGAAGTGGAATAAAGGGTAGGCATAATAAGCTTAAGCTTCAGCCTCCACCTTTTCGGTCTGTGTATGTGAAATATCATTGTTTGTGAATTAATGTCAAAATATACCTGTGACCGAAAAAAAAAAAAAAAGAACATGCAAACTCCGCACCACGCCCGGGCGTCTAACCTACTTTGCGTACAGTGTCTGTCTGGCTACAAACATCTTTACAGCCATAAATCCTATTATGTTTTGTCTGTTTTCCCAGAAGTCCCAGAAATGCCAATGACCAGTGCTTGTCTATGGAACCCAGTCATTAGGTCTGGAGACACACAGCACACATGTCATTTGTGCATCTGCTGCACTCACATGTACAGCCTATGACATCACTCTCTTTAGGAGCTCAGTGTTTTTCCAGTTTTCTAAAGATTAAAGGTCCTATATTACGCTAAATTGACTCTCGAGCTTTAAGCCATGTTATAATGTTGTTACTTTATCAAAATCATACCCGGAGCTATGTTTTGTTTCATTCACACATGTTTGAGTAATCCTGCACTATTTCTCTGTCTACATCTCTCAACTATAAAATGCTCAATTTCACCTTGTGATGCCATGACATGGTAATTATCAAGTTAAGCAGCTGCCAGTTACCTTTTGTTCAGTAGAGATTCCAGGGCTGAAATTATCCAAATGATTATAGTGAAGGTGTATGGACTTTAAACATAGCACGGCATAATATCACAAGGTGGAACAGAGTGTTTTTTTGTTTGAGAGAAGAACTCGGAAGAGCTAAATATGCAGATTTGTGTTAAATATGTGTGAATGAAACAAAACACAACTCCAGGTGTGTTTGTGTGATGAGGAAAGAACATTATAACTAATTATAGATCATAAAATAGCATAATATGGGCCCTTTAAAAAGCTATTAGGCATAATTATAACCTATGTTTTGCTAACAAGCTTGGCTAAACACAGAGTTGCAACAAAGACTCCTGATTGGACTTTCTGTCAAGTTCAAGCACCATGCACGAAATGATAAATGACTACAGATGAGTGACAAGACAACAGAAGTGGAGTGGAGGAGCGCAGTTTTATAGAGCAGTTAGTCTGTAGATGTTGCCATAACAAAGTCAGCTTTACTAATTTGTGAATGGAGTTGTACATTAAAGAACATAAATACGAAGAAGAAAAGAAAGACTGCCTTGATCCCAAAGGAAATATTTGGACATTAAATCTATAACAGCAATGGCTAACGAGAAATTGGGTGCTGTCCCAGTTTTGGAGCTAGAGTGGAAGGTAGTGAATTCACATAAAGGCAGGTATTGGAAAACCAGCAACACTGATTATGTGGACAAATGAGGCATGTCTTGTGTACATTTTCCAAGGAGACAACATACACAACAGTGCTGTGTTCACAAGGGGTCGAATAGTTTAGGATTTGGGAGCTTTACATTAGCACGAGTTTAGAAAAAATAAAACAAAAATATTCTTAATGTGATTTGGATGATATAAGTTCTGGTTGGTTGAAGTGACTGGAACCTAGAATATTTTGAATTTTTTTTTAGCACTAACTCATGATATATTGCAAAGTAACATTAAAAATCCTGTTCATATTAATATAAGCAAACTTAACATCCATCAAACATTCACTAGTAATGACTACGTTTTGTCTAATGTGTGGAAATTAAGATTATCTATGAAATGCTTTCATGTGACAGTGTAACTCTGGCTATAAATATCTGCAACAAGATTACTGGAAGATAAACATTTTTGAGATTATGCCTATACTTGTCTTTTCTTGCAATAGTTATGTGTCATATTAAAGGTCCTATATTATACTAAAATTGACTCTTGAGAGATTTAAGCCATTTTAGAATGTTGTTTCTCCATCAAAAACATACCCAGAGCTGTGTTTTGTTTCATTCACACATGAGTAACACTTTAGTATTAGTCTGTCTACCCCTCCAAAGCTCAAAATGCTCTCTTATATCTTGTGATGTCATGTAGTAGTAGCTTCATCAACAATTACCTTTTACCTTTTGTTCAGTAGAGATTGGCGATTCAGTGTCTAAAATGATCCAAATGATTCTAGTGAAAGTGTGTGGATTTTAAAAAACACAGTGGAGCACAACCTGTATTACTACATGACATCACAAGGTGGAACAGAATGTTTTTGTTTGAGAAAAGTGTTCAGTCTAAATGCAAGGCTTGTGTGTTAAACATGTGTGAATGAAACAAAAAACAAGTCCAAGTTGTTTGTGCTGAGAAAACAACATTAGAACATAATTAAGAAAACAGTGGGCCCTTTAAGTATATATTTCCAAATTATGTCCGTTTGTAAATATTATATTTTTATGTTTTGTTTTCCTTCTCTTGTGGCTTGTAACTTTTGGAGCATGTTTGCCACTGTGGTTAGTGAGTGGCTGTGTTATTACAACTATACCACTTCCCATTGGCACAAATCTACTCTTGTTTTCTTGTTATGGTCACAAGTAGTGGCTGTTCCCTTTTCACACATCATTAACATTCTCCTCAAAAGCCGCTTCTGTCCACCACGCACCCACTTCCACACAGCGTAACTTACCCACAGCTTTGATAACGAACCCCTTTGGAGACCTCAGAGCGCGGCGCATCCACGCTTCCCTCACCACCTCCAGGTTATTGGCGTTGCCCTGAATGAACAACACCAGGTTTTCCATCCATCCCTGGAAGTGCACCTCGGCCACGGCTTTCACCAGTCTCTTATTCCAAAAACTGCGGGAATTCTGCGCTTTGAACTCCGCGAATATCTCCTGCCCGGTGTTGGCGCTGACTTCGGTGCCGAGGTGGGAGCTCTCCTCGTCCCGGGCTAAGACCACAGCGAGGGACGCGGAGGACAGCTGGATAAACCGCGGCGGGAGAGTCATCTTGGAAACTCTACCGACAGATTCTCACTTTAAAACAACAGATCACTCTTTAAAACATTGCTTTTCGTTCAGTAAATCCACAACAAAGCCGTATCGAAGCGCTCATTCCTGCAGCGAGAGTGTGCGCAAACTGCGGTCTCGAAGCGCCAGACTGGTTTGTGCTGTGGTGGCTCCAGGGAAACCGTGAAGTGAAGGGGCCGGGAGGAGGAGCTCTGCCCCGGGACACACAGGTGGAGCCTCCCCCCTCTCTAATATTCGAACAACTTGACGCACAGGTGCTAGCAAGAAAACACATGGCAAACTTAGGGATTTAAACTGCTATTGACTTGTTTACACAATTTGCATAACGTAGCCTCAGGAAAGAACAACATGACTGCATTTATTTCTTGCTTACTTACTTGTTTTAACTTGTTAGCAAAATTTCACATGTGCAATTTGAATATTGTTTATAATAATAATAATAATAAGGTTGTTGTTCAGCAGTTGGAGTAAATATTTGGCACATGTGTAAAAGCTGAAATTCTACATGTGGTGAAGTGTAACTATCTGGAGCTAATTAACATAAACAGCTTCTAACCACAGCTTGTTTACAGGTCTTATATTACGATATATTGACTTTAGTCACCTTTAAACCAATATACAGTCGATGCTTTATGTCACGTTAGAATGTTGTTACCTCACCAAACATACCTGGAGTTGTGTTTTGTTTCATTCACACATGTTTGAGTGATCCTTTATTTTTAGTCCTTATGATTTCATGAAGCAGTAGTTTTCATGTTACAGCTAGCTTTTACCTTTAGTTCAGTAGATATTGGCAATTCCAGGGCTGTAATTATTCACATGATTCTAGTGAAGGTGTATGAAGTTTAAAAACACAATGGAGCACTTGCTGTATTACCATAACTCACAAAGTGGAACAGGTGGAAAAGGTGTTTTCTGTTTGAGAGAAGATCTCAGCCTAAATATGCAGGGTTTGTCTGTTAAACATATGCGAGTGAAACAAAACACAACTCCACGTATGTTTTTGATGAGGAAACAACATTATAACATCAGAAAACAGTGCAATATGAGCTTACAGATAAATCCCAGATAAGAAGGTTAATGGCTATTAAAAATGCTGGTGTAAATTCAAGAATGTGTTTAAAACAAGTGTATGCATATATAGATGTCAAATCTGAAACAGGCCAGAAGAACAACATGTGTGTGTCTGAAACACTGGTAAACATTTCACATAAACTGCAGTTTTGTATTTCCATGTTCTAAACAGTAGAAAACAATAGGCACGGGTCATGTAAATACACTGTGGTGTAGCATATAGAGGGGGACTGTAATTATATAATTGTTTTGACTTGTTTTACAGTTAGAATTGAACGCAGAAGTTGGAGCTGCCATGTGGTTTCATAACAGCGTCTGGTTTATTGGTCAGTGACTTGTAAGAATTATCCTACTATCCATCAACCAGCACCCACAATGCATGGTGATATGGGAGATTATTTACACCAGATGCCCTTTCTGTTTCAACAAGCCTATTTTCTGTGACTATTGATAAAGAGGACATATGTTTTCACCGCAAGCAAGATTTAAAGCTACTTTACTGTTTGGCTGGAAGGCAAATTCTTAATCTCCCAAATATAGCATTGTTTACAAATGTGTGCTAAAATGTTTTTCTTAACTCAGTATATTAAGAATTTCCTCTTGAATAAGGCTGTCCCTGTCTCCAGGCGTGCTTGTTGTATCTTTATAAAAATAGTATTATACTATACTGAGTGAAACAACATTAATGTTGCACTGGGTAACCTTTCCTCAGGACAGTGTGACATTAAACTTCTTTAAGTCCTTGGAAATAAGCAGTTGATGTCATTAGGGAGAGGCGTGACCCGACTTTGTGTCTTGTCTTCGTGAGAGATTTTGAAGCTGCTGCGCTTCTCATGTGTAGTCTCAGTGTAACTCTGAGTTGCTCTGTCAGATCATAACCACCAAAATCAGCAACGCTACGGCAATAGCCAAACAATTCGCAAAGTGGTAATTTAAAATGCTTTAAAAATCATGTATCTGAAGTATTGCAGCACATTTGACAAATAATAACAACACAGTTTTGACTTGTATCTGAACTAGAAGTGTAGTTCTCTGATCTGAACACTTGAGAGTCTTAAAGTGAGTGGTTTTACTGTAGACAGGAAACAGGTGATGCGAGGTGCGCTCTCAACTTTATAGCCTGTGGTCTGTAGTCATATTAATTCTCATAAGATTCTTCTTGTGTCTGTGGTGTACGCTTTTTGTTGCACATTTTAAAAATCGTTTAAGACCAAAAAATCCAGTAGTGTGTGGCAGGCTTTACTCTAATAACTGCTATACTGTGGAACCAGGCAAAACAATAACATTTCACTGGAGGCAAGCAGGTGGCAGGCCTTCCTTTATAAATCATATACTGTACATAGTGCATCTTTAATTTCAATTACAGACAGACTGATATATTGAGTCAATATTTGTACTCTTTAGCATTTCGGCCTTAAATCTTCAGCACAATCTGTTATTTTGTTTTGGCTGATTTGCTGTTTAAAAATACACTTAAGTTTGAGGTAAAAAAAAAAAAAAGGGAGGGGGGCTGGTGTGAGTTTTTAATCTATTAAAATTTCATAATATAGGGTAAGTAATCAAAATGGGCTCTACATATCAGTCCAAAAATATCGGCAGACCTTATAGGCCACCGGTTGCTCTGGACTCTAATCAAAAAACCCAAATCAGTCGATCTCTAATTTTAATTTTGTTATTCACAGTCAAATCATTGTACAAATATTAGTTCTAATCACTACATGGTGGTCTACCGTTTCTACATATCACTATTACCAAACATGTCCATATACCAGTAACATTGAAAGCTGCTTTGTTCCATAATTTGGCATATGCATACATACATACTCACAGAATGTCTAGTTTCCATGCGTGCTCTCAGATGTTTTGTATTTGCCTCGTAATATTGCATTTCCAAACAGTTGAAGAAAGTCATGCCACAGGGAACAACTTTTACTCCTCAAACGAGAACCATCCCCCCTGCGCCCGGTGACTGTATCCGAGCGGCACCTCATATATCAGAGGGGAAGGAGGGTGCCGCCTGGAGGGGACGGCCGGGCTAATAGTGGCATTAAGAACAGGATATTGTGCTTCCTCTGAACATGAAAGAATACATGAGGTTAGCATACAGGCAGAGAGATGTGCCAGGCGAGCAGGGCGGTTCAGAGCCAGTGAGTCACAGTACTGCAATGCCTTTAAACCAGGACTTAAAGCTTCATAGGGTTTAATGGAGAGGAGGGCTGAATGAGATGCAGTTTCACTTTAAGACTGCACTGTGTGGTCTGTTTGCTTTTGAATTAAAGATGCACTGTGTAACTTTTCTGAAGGAGCGGTTGCCATGTGCTTGCCTCATGGTGATGTTATTGCTTTGCCTACAGTTTTAAACAAATATATCTTGTATTTATTCTATTACAAGTGTTTTTATTTCTCAAAACTACCTCAAAAACATGCATTATTTCTGTGAGCGTGACCACTTCTCCACAGATATGACCTGTAACTTTTGCCTGGTGATGTGGCCTAGCTTGTCACCATGGAAAAGGTTAAATTATATTGTAGAAAATTCCAGGAAAAGCATCCACATGGAGTCTTTACTGAACTGAAAATGTTAAAAACAGAACTGGTGTGCTATTTTCAGATCTGTGTTAATGTTGTTTCCTCATCACAAATACACCTGGAGTTGTGTTTTGTTTATTATGAACTTGTGTAAACTACTTTGAGAAAGATTATAGTTGTTTTTGTGTGAAGTGGTATTTGAATAGTGAACACACTGTAATAGTCAACATCGTTAATTAAAAATATGCTTTGACAACTGATCATTTCCTGGTTGTTTTCTTTTCCGACCGTGCAGTTTCTGCCAAAGGTTTGAAACATACCAGGCCTTTTGGAAGTCATTAGAATACATTTAGGTACACAGCCAAAACATAAACAATACACTATTTAGAATGAACTTCCTTTACTATGTTTTCCTCCTTTATGGGCACTTGAGGTTTGAGTCTTCCAAGTCGGCCTGGTGCTCTTCTGTTTTGAATACTTGATTGACACGAATACTCATAATAACACTGTTTTCCCCCAAAGAATGTCCTGGAGCAGAACTATGAAAATAATGCCATTGGATTGTCATAAATACCGTGGAATGAGTGTCCAAATCTTTTATGATTTGTGGTCTGTGGACACAAAAACATCTTAAAACCAAAGCACATGTTGGACACAGAAGAGTGGAGAGCGCCAGCTTGATTCGACCACAAACTTCCCGCTCTTTGCTTGAAATCATTTTCCGAGACTTTTCCAGGACAACATCTAGTTATGACTGACGCGTTATCACATCTCATAATTCCCTCATCCCAAACCCAAAGCAAAACCATGTTATTTTTACACATTTAGAACATTCTTCAGCCTGTCATTCTGTTCTGCCACTCTGAAGAGGGAAGCAGTTCAAATCAGGCTAAAAGTAATTTACAACGACCAGTGACCACTGAACTTCAGAGTTAGGCCACCACAGGGCCAGAGAATGGACCAATCACAGAGCAGCATTGTGGGTGGAAGACAGAGGTGTACTTCGGCCTGTTTTTAGCAAAAATACAAAAATACTGATTATTTTGACTAGAGGAAAATGCTTTATGGGAAAGATCTTTGTGCTTTTCTTCAATTGAACCAAAGTTTGAGAATGTCCTGATCTCTTTCAGTGAGAGCCATCACAGATAATGTATAGAACTCAATTCAAAGTGCTGCACATACTGTATCCGGTGTGTGCTGGGTAAAAGAAACCCTAAAATTACTTAACTTTTTCCACAGTATTTTCCTTTTCTTTCAATGACTTAATAATTTTCCAGGATGTGTGGGGACTGGACAATAGTGCACACTTTTGCCAAAAAAAAATCCTAAATTCTCCAAATGTTTAGTCTGTCGGGTTGGGCTGATCACCACAAAGCAAAGTTCAACTCTGATTTACGGCAATTTTGCTCTCCATTCCAAGGCTTTCCAATTAGCATACATACATTTTCCTCGTGTTGGCGCATTGAAGCAATTTGGCCACGGTATCAGGTGACTCCATAGGGTTCAGCGA